CCCCAAAGAAGCCATAACTGACATCCAAGCAGATATATGCATACCTATTTTTATTGCGGCTTTGTTCACAATAACAAGGAGTTGGAAACAACCTAAGTACCCATCAGCAAACAAATGGATAGAGAAGCTGTGGTATATTCACACAATGGAATACTACACTACTTTGAAAAACAAGGAACTCATAAAATATTATACGAAATGGATGACCCTGGAGGACATTATGCTGAGTGAAGTATCTCCGTCACAAAAGGACAAATACTGCACGGTGCCTCTGTTGTAAAACAGGATTGACCTCAGGGTTGGGGGCAGACTGAGAAAGATGGGCTCAATAATGTATACTGCACTGAAACAGATGAGAGAGAAAACTGTTCAAAAGGGATATCTGATTAAGTATTTTTGTCCTGACAGGAATCCAGAGCAAAGGCTGCATAGTGGAGTGGACCTGGGGGAGGGTTTGTAAAACAATGAAAGAATTTTTCATTTACTTTTCCAAGAGGGTAGTGTACTATGGGGGAGGGTTGGGAGGGGAGAAAAGTGCAACAATGGGTGAATGGAAATCCAAAATCTCTGTAAATTTACATTGAAATTAATAATTGTTTTTGTTGTTGTTGATATGTATAAATTTTTTAAAAATCAAACCACTGGCAACTCAATTAAAGAAAATAAAGGAAAGGCACAAATAACTTGAATAAGAAATTAAAGAGATAACACCACCATAGAAAAAGCTGAAATTAAAAAAATAATAGAATACTATAAAAAATTATTTTTAAATAGTTTTACAACACATTTGAAAACCTAGAGAAAAAGGACAAATTCCTAGTACCCATGTGCTACCCAAATTTAAGTAGACAGAAGTAGAAACCTTGAACAGATTCATCACAAAAGAAGACATTGTTCAGGTCATAAAAGGACTCCTCACAAAAGGAAAGCCCTGGTTCAGACAGCTTCATGGAAGAAATCTATCAAACATTTAGAAACAAACTATTACCACTTCTACATAAGTTCTTTTTTAAAAAATAGAATAAAAGGAACATTCCCAGAGTCACTCTAAGATGCAAGCATAACCCTGATACCAAAGCCAGGCAAATACATTACCAAATGAGGAAATTATAGACAATCTTTCTCACGAACATAGATGTAAAGATCCTTAACAAAATCCTGGCCAACCTGAATGAGCAAAGCACTCCTTTAAAAGAGAAACAAGGTAGGAAACATCTCACTCCCTGATTTCAAATCCTACTACACTGCCGTAGTGGTCAATGACAGATGCATAGATCAATGGAATAGAATTGAGAATCCAGAACTTGGGCCATATACCTCTGGTCAACTGATTTTTGACAAGGAGATGAAAACAGTTAAGTGGAGAAATGACAGCCTTTTAAACAAATGCTGTTGGCAAAATTGGAAAACTATCTGCAGAAAACTCAAGCAAGATCCACACCTCACTCCATACAAAAACCAACTCAAAGTGGACCATGGGCCTAAGACTAAAACCAAGGATTATAATCTTCATTAAAGAAAAGCTTACCCGAATAAGCAAAGCACTCCTTAAGAATAGAAGAATGGTAGGAGGTATCTCACTCCCTGATTTCAAATCCTACTACACTGCCGTAGTG